GAGGGGGGGTAGTGTAGCGAGCGAGGTGGGCTGCTCCGATACAAGTGGCAGTTCTGCGGCAAGGAAAAAGGCGGGGGGGGGGGAGAGGGGGAGGCGCCCAGAATGAAGTAGCGCTGTGATTTAAAGTATTATAAAAGGCACATTTTGCGCTTATTGTGAGGACGAGCTTTACAGCATGGGGTGGGGTTATCCCTTCCTGAGACTAATCATCGTTTGTTTGTCAGTTCGGACCAAAACTTTAGTACAAAAAGAAGTAGCCCTAGTTGGAGCTACCACTTTGAGGAGTAGGGCCAAAGCTAGAAAGCGCTCATAGAATGGAACCCCACTCAGACCAACTGACCTGTTTATATCTTGGAGTTTGATTGCTCTGAGGTAGACTCGTTTAGAAATATAAAAAATATTCTTTAATTTGGGCTCAATCTGCTAGATGGTAGCGGTCAAGCTTAGCCCTGTTTCAAAGCTTGTGAAAATATATTGAGAATCTGGGGTGAAAGGCTAGTTCATGGCGCTTCCGGAAGGAAATCCGCCGGCGTCGGACGCTGTGCTCTTTTTCTCTTGACCCATTCGCAGTAATAAAGGCTTCTTTCGAAATCAATCTGGTTTAGCAGTGGCTATAACATGGTCGTTGGTTATTGTGATCGCCGGAACTGGTTTCGTTTTTCATTTTTCTGCCGTTCAACATTTTTATCTTTTCTCTCCATCAAAAGCACTTCATATTAGCCTTCAAGGGAAGTGTTCAGTCCAGTTCACAAGCATGAGAAGGAGCCTATTTCAATCTGATGTCAATGGAAAAGAAAAATTGATCAAGTGCAAAAAGGTTGGGGTTCTATGTAGGTCTAGATACCTCAAAAAGTAAAGCTTTCCTTTTTCAAGCTTATACTGCGTAAGTACGAGTTGACGCTGCTGTGGAGTGCGGACCAAGAGCGCTACATGTCTCAGGCACGATTCGCCGCCATATATCCGTCCGAGGGACCATACTCTTGGTCCTTCCTCCCCTATAAGGTTGGCAAAATGACAGGACGGTCTCAGGCATAGAAAGGGAGATACGGTGCCTTTCTGAGGGCAGTGCGAGGCATAGTTGTGATTTCTACGAGAGTCCAGACGGAAGAGAAGCAGAGACGTGTGTAAAAGGGAAGAGAGTCGGTATGAGAATACGCAGCCTACTGGACTACGTATTCTTACGAGATCGATGAGTTTCTAAAGGTACATTCCTCGATGTTCGAATAGGCGGAGATTTATGGCCACTGTGCTCAGTGCAAACGCGGTCTGATAATTGGCGCATTTTGAAAGAAAACAGCAACTGGCGGGGATCCAGATTTTTTCGAGTATAAACTTTCATCAAGGTATCATTTCGCATTGACTTTTACATGATTATTTCACTGGCCGCTGATTTTTTTTTTCTGTAGTACAACTGACATCTCCAGGGACATTCAGAGGCTGCACTAGCGAAACCTGTGCTTTCGCAGAGTGCTTAAAGGCACATTCCGCGATAAAATAAGGCTATGACCTCTCAAATGTGTCGGACGATCCGGAAGGCGATTTTTGAGGCTGCGCTACTTTCAAAAATGTGAAAAACGGCAAGAACTCCGCTAGAAGCTGACTAATTAGGCCCATGGACACCCCTTAGGCCCATGCCGACCCTCACCGGCTGCTAGCTACTAGCTAGTAGCCACTATGTTATCTTTCTCTATAACATTTCGGACTGCTTTTTCTGCTGCTTTTCTCCGCTAATCAGATACTTAGCACTTTTTTGTGCCTATTTGAGTTCCGTTTCCCGCAATTTGCGGTCGCGAACTGTGCCTTTAATTGAATTTGGTCCATTCCGAAGAAAAACCTGCGCAGAAGAGCAACGGGTTTTTCTGTGACAAAAATCAAGATTAACAGATAATTTCGTCCATCTATCATAGCGGCTACGATATGGTTTTTAGGAGATTGCCCTAAGAAGATCGTCCGAGGCTTTTCGTGAGATCGCTTCGAAGCAAAACAAAAGGTGGAACTGCTTCCATGCCACAAAGGTCAATTCCCTCATATAAAAAAGCTTTCGAAGCATTTTAATGATGTGGTGGGTTACCTAGGAAAGATAAGGCTCGCCCCCTTAGAGAGCGTTGTCTTAAACACAAGCGGTATGCGGAAACCTTCTGTGGTATTTGCAGCGAGACAAAAAATAAAGGAGGTATTTTAAGAATATAGTATGCTCATCTTGAATGCGACCCCTCCCTCCCCATATGTCCTTATGTCCTACGATCCCCAGCACCCCTTCGCCATCATACAGTGGATGGGTATCCGATCAACCACAAAACGTGAGCCAGTGGGCCAGGGGGACTACAACGACAAAAATCATGAGGAAATTACCAGCGAGATATAAAATTCTGAAAGAAAGAAAAAGAGGAGAGGTCGTATTTTGCGAAATTTTCTCCGGTGGCAGGACGCGCCTTGTTTCTCTCCCAACTGATGATCACCTTGATTAGGATTCCACAATGGCGGTGATGACTGATGCGAGTAAAAGGACTCGCCGTTGTGTCTTCCTTACTGTCACAAACCTCTCCGTTCTGAGACAGTAACATGGAGGGAGTAGCAGACGCTTCAATGATGAAGGCAAGTTGACACGCTGTGTCCGCCCATCAGCCCAGTGTGGGCTATCTCTCAATATCATCCTACAGGCAGTGCAGTGCTACATGTAGGGTTACAGCAATAGGTTAGAAACATAGGCGCTGTTCGGCGTGGAGAAGGCATTTTCCTATTTTGCTAATTCTTCTTACCAACCCATGCTAGTGAACAAGTCTTATTTCGGTCAGAGCTGTGACATCCTGTGAAGCTGCAAAAGTGTTCGACTGCCAGCTTGGTCACAGGAAATTGCAGGTCTCCGCAAGAGGTTCTGTACAGGCTCCGCTGAGTACCTCGGTGCCCCCAGTAACCCGAACTCTGCCAAAATATAACAGGTTATAAATGGTGCAGGATAGGTGTTATACAACTTGTTCACTTTTTGACACAGACTGAAAAGTTTGTATGAAAACAACGTCGCTGAATGAGTTGTGGCGGCTACTTCCCATCGACGTACCTATCTAGAGGCCTTTTCTTGAGTTGATAGGTTCTAACATGATGGCTTGATGACCTTGCTCCAGCTTCACAAGAGTTCACAGGTTTCGCCAGAGTGAGACTTGTAAACCGGAACTAAGGAAGCAATGATAGTACAAAATGCCCCCCCCCCGTCGCCGGACAGCGCCTGAAGTTGCAAACATTTATTCCCTTATTTCCCCCAATCAGTATCCATATCAGTAATCAGTGAGTCGCCTGTGCCGGAGTAGAGTGTGGCAGGGTACGTCATGAAGTCCATTTGGGAATGTCACTGTGTAAAATGGTGAAATGAAATACAGGGAAAAATAAGTGCAAACGGAAATCACGAAGAGAAACGTGCAAAAATTATGTTTCGTCGAAGAGGGGGCGCGGCAGTCTGGGGAGGGGAGAGCTTGACGTGAGGTCTAGTGAATGTAGGGTTAGTCCGAATGGCACTTCACGCATGAACGCAGAAGCTGAAGATTCAAAGTTTTCGCCCGAGTCTCCGGAGACAGGTGAGAATGTCTCCGCTTCCATTAAGCATAAACGTCATCTGAATGCACGTGAAAACGAGCAAGAAAAGTGCACGTGTAGATGTGCACGAGAAGCGCAGATAGGCACAGTTCGGCGACGGGGGGGGAGGGGGGGGGGAGGGGGAAGCAGTTTGCACTTTCGCTACTTCGCGAAGGAATCGAACTTATATGGTGAGCTTAGCCAAATAATGAGTTGGAGGAGATAGTACTCTTGCAAGAGAGGCTGTTAAATCAGCATGAAGGGAGCCGAATTGGTATGCACGGAGCGTTTTCCAGGGAACCCCGCCCGGTCATCCACTTAAAGGTCTGTAAGGAACGAGTGTCAGCTAATCTGATTAGATAGAGGCTGAAATGCGATCATTCATGGAATTGCTTGACATCATCGGTAACTCGCCCGCTCCTAAAGACCCACACATCAAATGGTTTTAAATGGATCGTCAGGCATTGCCTCATTCCACTTGAGTACAGGTTTTATCGCGGTAGACGGTCGAGCTACGGAGGTTACTGATTGTAATGATCTCACGATAAGAAACTTTATGGTTTTCCAGACGGGTATCTCTGGATTAGTCAGAGAAAAATGTGACACGAAAAAAAAAAGAAAGAATCAAAAATCACTGAGAGAGAGTGGGGCTCATTACTAGACCACCGCCTTGCAACTCCTCCTTTCACCCCACCCGTTCGCGACTCGAAGTAGCGCCCTATGCCAACCTCGAATATGAGTTATGATAAGGGGGAGGATGGCGATCCCTGATTCGAGGAAGAGTCCAGTCTATTGTCTATAACAGTACTTGAGCGGTGGGAAGCTCTAAGTCTCGCGCTCCTGATTGTGTGGGCGGAGTAAGGCTTTTCACTGGTGCGCCTTTCGCTTTTCGAAAGAATAGGTTACTCGCCAAAAACGGCAAAAGTCAACAAAGAGAAGAACTCTTTCCAGGCTAGCTATGAAAAGCCCTCTCCAAATAGCTAAAATAAGGCCCTCTTTCTCCTCATCCAAGCATTTCTCGGCGATAATATGTCCTGCGCCCATGCGATAAGCATGGTGATATGTGCTTTTTGAGCCAACGGTACATTTGCCCGGGGAAAATTCGCAAAATACGAAGCCCTCCATCGGAATTTTCCCTCTTACAACCCCGCCCCCCCCTTTCTTTCTACACACAAATGGCTTACGACCGTCTTCTAATTTTTGCATTTCTCCTACATACTTTTGGCAGGGTATTTCGAAAAATTTGACCCTAGATTTTCCCGTTTCTCGTGAAAAGATGCTGTTATTGAGGGTAGTTAGCGCACTTGAGATAGCAAATGCATAGGAGAGTCAACGACCGGAACCCTTTTTCTCAGAGGCCATTGCGACTCCCCCCCCCCTTCCTCCCGCGATTAAATACGATCCCCTCCCTTGAGATCCCGAACGTAGACCTCTGCAGGTGAAGAGCTGACTCCAGGAGAAATACAAAGAATAAGGGGTCGGAGCGCTGGAAAGGAGAGTGACGGGTATATAGCGCTCGAGAGGTTGCGCCTGATTCTATACGCGACATGGCACTAAAAGGTCGTTACGGTTCTAAATGTGAGTCAAGGGCCTGGCACTATTGAAAGGGTTGAGTAATGCCGACCACTTGGTCTGGAAATCACTTTGTCCTTCCCAAATGGTGTCGTGAAAGTTATTAGAGAATGAACTTCAAAGGTCCTCAATGAAAACGCTAAGGCGCTTAGGCTCAAGTGCTAAAACGCATTCATAAGGTGTCCGTGGATAAGAAGAAAGAACTTAGGCTGGTTTATGGCACACGCCCTGGGCAGAGAAGCGAAGGGCAAAGTGCCAAGGTAGGAATAGAGAGACAACAAGCGCGAAGGAATAAATGCGAAGTTTGACCCAATAAGAGCAGGGATCAGGAGACTTGGCTCCTGGACACCCCTTTCCCCCTTGTGAGTGAGTATAAAAAAGATGTTGACCGAATGAGAAGCATCTACCTCTAGGTCGGTAAGAGGTTCAGGTTCAGTCTGGCCTGGGGTCAGGGCTCTTGCTCCGGGTTGAACGGGCATTCCGATAAACTGCAAACTGTGAACGAAACCCCAGGGCCACAGTGGGATTTTCACTCGTCTTTGGGGATTTTGGTCAAGTCCACGCCCTCCTCCTTTTCCAGGGAGTTGGTACATGCCCCCCCCCCTTCCTCATCCTACATACCCTTTCGATTTTCCCCGAACCATACCCCTATTTCCAAAATTTTCCTGACGAGAGAGAGGAGGGGCAAGGCGGAGGGTCGGCGGGGGTAAAGTAGTACAGAAAACAAGAAAAAAAATCAGCAACCTCTCTCAAAAGGCCAGAAGTGAAATACGACACCCAACCCCTCCCAGCAGCGACCAAATACGCCCCCCCCCCTCCCTTGTTGGGGACTCCCCAGTGCCCTGGTGAACCCATCGGCCAGGGAGGATAGTCTGCAACGGCAAAAATCATGTTGAAAAAATGTCAGCTTGCCAAGCAGTCAATAGCAGGATCCAGGGCACTAGATCGGTAAACGGTCCTGGTTTAAGTCTGGCCTGGGGTAGTCTATTGACCGCAAGTCGCAGTCTTGTGATGGTTTTCTGATCGCAAAAGGCTGAGAACAACGCAGTTTTCATTGTGAACTAAGACCAAGAACTGAGAAATCCTCAGTGCTTACTTATGGTTTGAACAACCTGAACGACAACAGTAGTTTAACGGGTGTAACGAGTTTTCTTAGGAAAAGTTTGCGCGCGCACGCACATACCATAGAAAGGCCGTGATGAAGGCAGCAGCATAGCGATTGAAATGGGTCAGTGGTATGCTGGTGTGGGAAAACGTCTAGTCATTCGACGATCCTGTCGAATCGGGGCTAGAGAAGAGTTTGCGACGTGATCCCGTCCGTACACGGTCATTTGGCGGCGACGACGAGCCGCTGTGGGTTGATGTTTTGTGGCTTCCTATCCTTTCGTTAGGAAAAACCGGATTACGCGCGATTCAATGAAATTCCAAAGAAGCAATGACGAAAAGGATGTTTGCCAATGGGGTCTCGTCTCCCCATTTTGTCGGGAAAAGATGCGATATGGTTGATGTGTGCGAGAATTTCGCGAGGAGAAAGGCCCTAAACTTCAATGAGGGCAACGTGGCCTAGTGAAAGTGATATGTGTGTGTGTCGCAATCGGATCAAGTCGGCCTCGAAAATCCCTCTATCGCTTTTTTTCCGGTTTTCCCAACTCGTTTGAATCGAAGCATTACTCGTTCAAATTACAGGTTTGTCGATTTTATGGTACCGTCCACAAATGCCGCTTATGTGAAGCTGATTGTGTCCTGCCTTGACTACGAGTTCGATCATTGCTACCTTTCAAAAGTGATACTTCAGAAGGCTCTGACGTCCACTTGTGAGGTAAGTACAACAAATTGTGACCAGAAAATGGGTCGACCAGTTTATGAGCGCGATTGTTTTTAGCGGTTTTCATGACCAGAGGAGGTCCAAAACGGAGCGCTAATAATGTTAAAGACACATGGTACGCTCAAACACATTGAGGGTGTATGAGACTATCAGCCCCCCAGCTGTCGATGTGTCGTGGTCCCCCGCCCAAAACTGCACGGGGTCAGAGTACGGGACCGTGGGAAAGTCGTAATTCCTTGCTACGCCGCCCGTTTTTGCAAACTCACGTTTTTACTAACACCGTCCGCGCGGCGCGGTCGCGTGCAGCTCTCTTGGCTTTTTGCCAAGTCCTGTATCCAGATCAGAGCAATTTCTTTATGCGCATAACATTTTAAGGTTTCTGAAAAATAAGAACTGATAGCATGATGACGATGCTAAGAAGCTGCAAGCCGCAGCCATAAAGAACATTGGTCGTTGTAGTTGTATCCCAACGAAGCGGCAATTACAGGACTTGCAAAAAGCCAAGTAGAGCTGCATGCTGATCGCGCCGCGCGGATGGTATCTGGCGGATGAAGCGTCAGGGGGGGGGGCGGTGTAGCAAGGAATTACGACTTTCCCACGGCCCCGTACTCTGACCCCGTGCAGTTTTGGGCGGGGGACCACGACACATCGACAGCTGGGGGGCTGATAGTCTCATACACCCTCAATGTGTTTGAGCGTACCATGTTGTCTTTAAAAGGGGATTTGGAAGACCTTTTGTGCAGAACTTGGATTCACCGCGGGTGTTTTTTTTTTTTTTTATTTTTTATTTTTTTTTTTTTTTTTTTTCTTGAAGAGCGTCTGCCTAAGAGGAAGCGGGCGGGGGGAGCGAAGGGCTAGTGGCTTTGGGCTTAATGCCCTAGCAACTGTCGAAGAGACGGTAGGTAGCTCTATTTGAAATTCCTTTAAAGGGATAGCTAGAGATATTTTTCATTGATGAAGCGGTGTTGTCACAGCAGCAAGTGACGGTTCCCTTACGCGCGATCCGGGGTGAACTCTCGGATCGGCTCCGTTTCAGGCTAATCAAGCCTTCTACCGTCAGGAGACGGTAAAGTACTCCGTCTTGGAGAGTAAGGGCACTGATTTGTAGCATTGGCTGGTCCCCAGTTGCCATTATATAGGCTACTTCACTTTCAGTAAGTCACTACGATTGTTGATGAGAGTAGAATGCGTGCCCCATTCCGACAAGGGACTGATAGAGGCACAGGTAGTCCTTTAAATGCTCCCTCTGAGCGTTGAGTGGCGCGTGATACGATCCTCTTCCAGAACAGCAGTTGTGTTAGAAGCTCTTTAACGCTCCGCACTTAGCGTGGAGTACTAGTTTCGACATTAAGTTACTTGGTAGAAGTTTGGCCCCCTCTCCTTCCCCCCTCCCCACATAAAGAATCAGTAAGTGACGCTATTTGCCGTCACTCCACCGTATCAGTGCGATAGAAAAAAACAAACAAATTCCCTTATTGTTTAGAAGCATGTAGAGATTTCCCAGAAAAGTGAACCAGAAGATGTCCAGTCCTGACCGTTTTAGTGAAGCGAGAGTGGAATATGGAAGGGCAGGGGCTGGGTTAGACGCCACTGTTATACCCAAGCTCCAGGATTCGATCTAAGGCGCAATCCTGCCCATGTCAATCAAACACTTCACCTTTTCTGGATCAGTTAGTCTCTATCAGACCGACTTTTCTGGTAAGCTTAAAAAGCGCGTCTGTCGCTGCTTTGCAAAAGCGAACTTGGATATTTGATCCTTCTCTACTGATTCTTAACGGTAGGCACACGCAGGGGGGGCACTTTCGGTTGCTTCTTGACATAGTTTCCGGTTCACAAGCCTCACACTGGTAAAACCTGTGAACTCTTGTGGAGCTGGAGCAAGCTCGTCAAGCCATCATGGTAAAACCTGTTAACTCGAGAAGAGCTGTTCAGATGGATGAACACGTCGATGGAAAGTAGCAGAAGTGCAAATATCGCATTACCCACCCCCCCCCCCGGTCGCCCATAATTATACAGGGGGGAGCCAAAAAAAAAAAAGGGATCATTTGCGCCGAGCCACATATCAACGAAGTTTTCGCAGCCCAGACAGGGGAAGTGGATATGAGTACCAGAGTGGAAGATACCCAAGATCTTCCTCTATAAGCTGGAGCACGCTGCCGCCAATCGCCTTCATGTACGCCAAAATATGAAGTCATCTCCAGTCGCGGCCTGACTGGAGAACACCTTTGGAATTCACGTCGCCTCCAAACAGCTGCGAAACTTCTTGAATGAAGTCATCCACAGATAGCTACCTGGAGGTCAGTACTCTTGATCTGCAAGACCTCCCACATCGACCAGCTACGGCAACGTCGCTACGGTCTAGGACATCATCTTCACCGTATTCGCCGAGGCGCGAGTTGATGGTATGGACCGGGGTACCTGGAAAGGGGAAGACCGATATTTTCTTTGTAGACCCCGACTGAAGGTGAGCGCTGGCGGTTACATCAAGTAACTCGAGAAGAATATCCTCCCTACATGTGGTCGCCCGTACCTTCTTGGAGACCTTGTGCTGCTACAGGTTTGGGTGCCACCACATGGAATCAAAGGGTTTTGGAAAAACTCCCGCCTACTTCGAATGGAAGGGCGTTTCGTACCTGATGAAGATGTAATATTGAAGTATGTCCCCTGACCTGAACCCACTCAATTACCTAGTTCGGGCGGAGCTCAACAGGGTGGTCTACAGTGGCGGAGAAATCAACGATCTCGCTCAACTCCGGTACCCACTCACTTTCGCGCGGCCGAATCTCTCGATGGCGCTCCTCCAGAAGGCTGTGGCGGAGTATCATTATAGTATTTAATGTGCTCTTTAATATGTAGTAAAAATGTCAATAAAAATTTAACAAGTGGTAACTATAAGCGCCTTGAAAGTCATGAGGCAAAAATGATCTTTTTTTTTTGCCCCCCCCCCCTGTATGTCTGATCCGGCCAATGGCGGATCAGCAAAAGTGGGTTCTCAGCTGCTACATCAGGCTGGTCACGTCTTGATTGCTGGTTTGTTCACTGTGCAATGCAATATGAATGGAAGTGCTGAGGTGATGACTCATACACAAAGGCGCTCGAACTGCATTTCCGTTCATTGTGTGTGAGTGGACCATAAAGGGGGGGGGGGCGAAAAAAGTCACTTTGTTCATGACCCTTAGAGGCGCTGTAAGTTAATACTTCATTAAATCTGATCGGAGCATTTTTTACCACGTCATTTTTAAAGTGAGCTATCATAATCTATCATTACCACTCCGGCCACAGGCTTCGTGGACGATGCGCCCGTCGAGAAATGTACGGACCGGATGACGAACGCGACCCGATGTGGTGCCTGAGATCAGCGAGATAGTCGATTTCTCCGGCACCGCAGACCACCCTATTGAACTCCGCCCGAACCGAGTAATTGAGGGGAGTTCAGTCGTCAGTGACTGCTATTTTGGATTATTATCTTCTTTTTAGGTACCCAGCTCCCTTCCATTCCAAGTAGGCGAGAGTTTCTCCAATGCCCTTCGATTCCATGTGGTGGCACCCAAGTGCTGTAGCAGTACAAAGTTTCCAAGAAGGTACGGGCGACGACATGTGAGGAGGATATTCTTTCATGATTGCTCGAGTGACCGGCCAGCGTCACCCTTCAGTCCAGGCCCCCGAAGAATTATTGCCTTGTTCATTCCAGTTGTTATTCTCCCGGTCCATACCACCAACCCGCAGCTTGGCGACTGCGGGGAGATGATGGTTCTAGACCGTGGCGAGTTGTCCGCGGGGCTGTCTCGATGTTTGAGGATCATTCCAGTTGGACGTACTGGTCTTCAGGTAAGCCAGTCCATGGGTTCTCCATACTCGAAGCTTTCGCTGATCTGGAGATGAATTCATATTTGGTGTAGCATGAAGGCTGATTTTGGGCGAGAGCCAGCTCTCTGCTATCGAGAACATCTTGGGTATCTTTCCGCTCTGGTACTCGTATCCACGTCCTCTGTCTGGGCAGCGAAAACTTTGCTGATATGTGACTTGGTCGAAGTGACTTTTTTTTTTGCCCCCCCCCCGCCTTTATATAGGTTAGATCAGGATCGGGCCGTGAGCACGTTTTGACCCTTGACCTCACAGAATCATCCACGGAAGAGTTGATTGCGAGCGGAATTGCGTGCAGCAGACCTGACAACTATAACGTCCCGGTGCAGTGTGAGGCTTGCAGCCTAGCTGTCTCGGTGACCGGTTTGACGCCCCCCTCCCCCCCGCGCCTGCTCGCCCTTCACCCCGTCCCCGCTACTCTTGCCCTCTGGCCCTCCCTATGCTTACAGGCTCGCAACCGCATGCGTCATGAATGTTGTCATTCAATCTCTTTTAGTGGAGGTCGCTTAACGAACCGCGTTCGCTTGCATAATTCCCACACCCACGGCTATTCATGCTGACAGCTGTAAGAACCATCCAAAGCTAGAGGGCCATGTTTGGCTATAATTATACTAATGTCCAAGTATGAAAAGTGATATTTTGGAGTACCGGGTCCCGCCCGGGGTCTACTGCTGCTCAAAAACAGCATTTGTAATAATACGGAGTATTTAAAATGTTGTGATGGCGCTCAAAATCTATTGGTTTGGTTACAAGCAAAAATAGCAACAGAAGAAGATGAACAAAAAAAAGGGAAAGTCAACTTAACATGGCAAAGTCATAAATTAAGTAAAAGGAAGAGGGAGGGAAGAGGCGACGAATTTTTGGTAGATGGAGAATGGTCGTTGCAGAAGCTGCCAGGCCGCGGGACTATGGCAAGAGCGAGCTCGTTGCGGAGTCTAGGACGCACGGTCCTCTCCGCCGCACATATTCCCCTTTTCTTCTCCGGTACGCTCCTAAAAACCAGTCATCTCACCGAATTTCCCGCTTCGCTTTCCAAAACACTGAGTGAGGAAGGGAGAGTGGGGGAGGGAGGAGATAGGACGACACCTTCGATCAACTACCAGAATTACGTGGTTTTTCGCCGCCGTCAGCTTCGCGTGAAACAGTAAACGTTAACGATCGGAAAAAAATTGAGTAAAATACGATTCTAAGAAATATTGCAATCGTTGTCATTACGGACGTGTCCTACATAAGCGCCTTAACAGTGGTCAGTGATCCGTGAGTCACGGAGGTATATTTGTCATTGTGCCCGTTGTCGCGTGTGCTACTGGAAAATGGGGTGCAGGGCAGAAAAGCCGATTGTCTTATAACTGAATAACTGGTTCATGGGTGACAGTAGGGCAGTAAGACTTTATCAGTACTGTAGGCAAAAGGAAGACACTTTTCTTCTCGACTTTCGAGGCGATATAAGTTACATCTCATTAAATCAACAGGGAGGGTCGTATCTGGTTGCTGGGAGAGGGGGGATGTTGGGCCGGGATAGATTTATTTGACAGTTGATTTTCGTGTTTCCAAGTAGGATAAGGCGGGGGTGTTGTATTGTTGAGGGGGAAAGAAAGGGGGGGGTGTGGTTGTATTTTCCCTTTTGATCTCTGAAGAAGTTCCCTGACCTTATTAGTGGTTTTGCTGTTCCGTCTGCTAGAATACCTCCCTCCCGCTCGACAATGCAAAAATTTTTGGGGCAGTACGGCAAATTTTTCGAGAAATCCGGAAAACTGATCGGAAGTTGTGGGAAACCAAGAAATGGTAAAAAAGGCGTTGTCCGTAATTTTCCTCGCGGCTTTTTCAATTTACAAGTGTTATTTTACCCCCCCCGTTCTACAGCTCGATGAGGAGGGAACCATAGCGGGGGGATCATACGTACCCCCTAAAAAAGGAGGAGGTCATACGGACTCGAGCAAAATCCCCAACCCCAACTTATGATGTGCCCTGCTCTTGCCAAAAGCTGGTAGAGACTAAACGACCCAGGAGAGCTGAAGGCCTGTGTGGAATAGGATCTGGATCTGAAGCAGAGCGTGTCTTACGTCATTAGTTAGATCAAGGCTAGATCGAGGAGTGTTGCATCAAGGAATTGTTGAAGAAAGAAAAAATAATAAAATATATAAGTAAAAAGAAGTCCTAATAAGTAGTAAAGAAGTAGTGGTATCGTCCGAATGCATCACAGACGACCAATGCGCAAAGGCGTCGGAAGTCGATCCCAACTAGTCCAGCCCTGACGACAGGAAATCCTTAATAGCGACCATACAAGAAAACCAATTAGCCGAAGAACAAGCTTATGAGACCGTGAAGCGCAGGCTGTGACAGGAATGTGTGGAGGGTTTGGTGCTTCGGAACGGCATTTTTCTAATCCTGAGAAGTTATTTTAGAAGCTATTGCCGTTGTCAAGGATGTGTCGAGGCTTTTTTGTCTGAAGGGGACTTTTATCTCAGATAGTAATCTGAAAGAGAATATTGAATCCAAAGGAGCTAAGCCAATGTTTTGTAGGAGACACAGTTTTGACACATTTCTGGACCTGGGATTACCCTACTTTACGCAATGGGGGCTGGTTTGAGAAACCAAAAAGGAGACGAGTCATTGAAAAAAGCAATGGTCATTCATCTGTCTCCTTCTCCTACTTAGAAAAACCTCGATTCCTCCACCAGAACGCCTTAAAGGCAGTTGGCACGATGGTTTCCTATCGGCCTAAAATGCTAGTAGGGCGCTGTATAGTGGGGAAATGGCGAAAGAACGGAGTGAAACGGTCAAAATCCTGCGAAGAAAAAGCCTCCGTTCTCAGTGACTTGTAAATCGATTTCGGACGAGTTTCCCGTAGGCATCTTGCCAATCACCGCTACCGAAGATACGGCTGCATATGTGTACCCATGTATGCATGCAGCATCACGGCCGCTTCATACCAATCCCGCTTCATAATGCTTAGCAAATGAATGAATACGAGCGTCAGGAACGGTCGTCCATTTGTGGGCGGGCGGGCGTGGTAGGCGTTTGGGTCGGAATGTTGTGGCGGTCGGCACTCCCACTGGCGGCACAGCACGGCCCCTAGTTCGAACCCACCATCGAAACTCGCTCTGTCAAACCAAATCTTCTACTTCCTCTTTCCTTTGTCGAAAAATCACAGAGAATGGGAAAGCACTCGTACAGTGGCTGGTCCGCCGAAATTTTTGGCGTTGGCTGAAATCTGTCAAGCAAAGTTGGTCATGACCTTTGCCAGAAAATGGGGCCATCCTTCCGCATATGCCGCCTCATTGTGTATTTAGATGGTCAAAGTCACCGTTGGAATCAGTTTTTGAACAAGCGTTCCGCGACAGTCGAATGGG